GAAGGGTACTGAATGTACCATGGACTGCCAGGAAAACAAACAGATTCATCTTGGAGAGGATTAAACCAAGCTACTCCTTGGAGGCAAGGATACTGGGACTTCGTCTGACATACTTTGGACATGTTTCCAGGAGGGACGGGTCCTTGGAGAGGGACATCATGGTTGGGAGGGTGGACGGACAGCGCAGGAGGGGAAGACCCTCTATGAGATGGATTGATTCGGTGACTGGGGTAATCAGGATGGGTGTATCAGAGGCGGTGCGGTTGGCGCAGGATAGAGCAGGGTTTAGGGCTGTTGTGCATAGGGTCGCTATGAGTCTGAAACGACTCGCCAGCACATAACAACAACATAACAACATAGCATACCATATTGAGGTCTAGCTATCCTGTGCCAACCTCACTGTCTCTGATACACCCATCCGGATTACCCCAGTCACTGAATCAATCCACCTCATAGAGGGCCTTCCCCTCCTGCACTGTCCCTCCACCCTCCCAAGCATGATGTCCCTCGCCAAGGACCGGTCCATCCTTACAACATGTCCAAAGACGAAGCCTCAGAATCTTTGCCTCCAAGGGGGAGCCCGGTTTAACCCTCTCAAGGATGAATCTGTTTGTTTTCTTAGCAGTCCATGGTACACTCAATACTCTTCTCCCGCACCACAGCTCAAAGGCATCAATCCTCCTTCTATCCTCCGTAGTCATTGCCCAACTCTCTGATGCATAACAAGTGATTGCGAAGACCATGGCCTGTATCAGACTCAACTCAGTCTCCAGAGAGACACCATTGCTCTTAAGTACTTTGGGGAGGTTCCTAACAGCAGACTTTCCCATTGCAATACATCTTTTAATTTCCTGGCTGTTGGTGCCAAGAGTGTTGATCGTGGAGCCAAGCAAACTAAAGCTGTGAACAATCTCAGTCTCTTCACTATCCACCCTGATGCTGCCAATTGGTCCAGTGGTGAGAATCTTTGTCTTCTTGATATTGAGCCTCAACCCATATTGGAGGCTGCAGTCGTTGACCTTCTACAGCAAGCACTTCAGTTCCTCCTCAGTTTCAGAAAGCAAGGCTGTGTAGATCTTCCACCAATCCTGACCCCACATTTCTCCTCATACAGCCCAGTCTCCCCGATAATCTGTTCTGCTTACAGATTGAAAAGGTATGGAGACAGGACACATTCCTGGCGTATGCCCTTCCCAATTTTGAACCGAGCAGTGCTTCCCTGCTCTGTTCTGATGACTGCTTCTTGATTCAAGTATAGGTTTCGCATTAGCACGATCAAGTGTTCTGGGATTCCCATTCTTCTCAGAGTCAGCCAGTTTGTAATGATTCACACAGTCAAATGCCTTTGCATAATCAACACAGATAGACATTCCTCTGCCATTCCCTGCTTTCAGCTAAGATCCATCCAACATTAGCTACAATATCCCTGGTACCACGACCCCTCCTAAACCCAGCCTTCTGGCAGTTCTCTGCTGATGTGCTGTTCCAGTCATTTTTGGATAATCTTCAGTAGAATCTTGCTTGTATGTGAAATCAATGATATTGTTCTATAGTTTCCGCACTCTGTTGGGTCACCCGTCTTTGGAATGGGAACAAATATAGATCTCTTCCAATCAGTTGTCAAGTTGTTTTTTCTCCAGATTTCTTGGCAAAACTTGGTGAGCACATCCAGGGCAGCATCTGTTAGCGGAAATATGTCAATTGGTATACCATCTATTCCTGGGGCCTTATTTTTTGCTGTTTCCTTCAGAGCAGCCTGAACTTCTTCCATCATCACCATACACCATAGGCTCTTGCTCATATGTTGTTTCATTAAATTCTTCTGTGTCTGCCAATTCCTTCTGATACAGTGACTCGGTATGTTCTTTCCATCTTCTTTTAATACTTCCTGGATCATTTAATATTCTGCCTAAAGCATCCTTGATTATAGCAACTTGAATTGGCTGGGAATGAACATGAATCTTTTCCAGTCAGTTGAACAGGTAGTTGTCCTCCATATTTCTTGGTGCAACCTGGTGAGCCCATCAAGGGTAGCACCTGTTTGTTGAAATATGTCAATTGTTATTCCATCAGTTTCTTCGGCTTTATTTTTGTGCCAATTCCTTCAGAGCAGCCTGAACTTCCTCCTTCATCACCATTGCCTCTTCTTTATCATATGTTGTTTCATGAAATTCTTCTGTATCAGCTAATTCTTTTTGTTACAATGACTGAATACTCTTTCCATTTTCTTGTAACGCTTCTTGAGTCATTCAATATTCTTCCCATAGCATTGCAGTATGTGGCTTTAATTTGCTCTTTAGTTCCTTTAGCTAAAGAAATAGTGAGTGAGTTTGGTCCTTTTGATATTCCAACTATAGTTCCTTGTACATTTCATTATAATCCTTTGTCTTGCATTCCCGAGCTCTCCTTTGACATCTTCTATTCGTTCCTTAACTTCTTGATTTCTTTCCCTTGCTTTGGCTTCTCAGTTCTCTATTTCAATTTTCAGAGTTTCTTCTGACATCCATTTTGGTCTTTCTTCTTCCTCTTTTTGAACACGAATAGGTCTTTTTGGGGAGAGTGAAACTAAGTTTCTCCTTAGAGACTATGATTTTGAAGCTCCCGTCCCACATACTTTGGACACGTGGCCAGGAAGGACTAGAGAAGGACATCATGCTCCAAAGGGTGGAGGGAGAACACAGGAGAGGAAGACACCAGACAAAATGGATTTATACGGTAACTGGGGCATTGCTGGTAGATGTATCAGAATTAGCGAGACTGGCTCAGGACAAGGCAGGTCTCAGAGCTACAGTAGGACACAGAGTTGTTTTGAGTGTACATAACAACAACAACAAAAATGAAATAGCTGATACTGATCATGTTGTGTTTTCTTGTCTTTAAGTATTTTAGCAGTGGGAGTTCAAGCTGAGTTTAGTTTCTCTAAAGAGTTCTGAAGCTTTACTGGGTCTAAACTACAAGCTGAATTTACACTTCTTAATTGAAAAAGTCAGGCTGTTTGTATAACATGTTTGCATCAATGAAAATTACATTTGTGCCTAAGTCCATCTGAAAATTTCTGACTTAGCTGAAATCTGGTGATGTGCTTTGTTTTTGTTGCCTGTGTTTGTTTGTTTGGGTTTTTTAATAGAGAATACCAGAAAAATGTTTGTCTTTTATTGACTACACAAAGAGATCTGACTGTGTGGATCACAACAAATTATGACTAAAATTGAGAAGAATGGGAATCCCTGAACACTTGATTGTGCCCATGCAAACCTTATACTTAGGTCAGAAAGCTATTGTCTGAACAGAGCAAGGGAACACTGCATGGGGCAAAACCAAGTGAAGATTATGTCACGGATATATTCTTTCTGTTTTTATATAGAGAATTGTCATAAAACCTATACTTTGGGTGAAAATCCTGATCACTTGCTAAGAAGCTCATATTTATTTCTTTTTAATTTTTCAATTTTAATTGAGATTTTAATGAAAATTTATAGAGAACTTGAATTTCCATTCATTCATTCTTGCACACTTTCTCCGCTACCCATTCCCCAGTTCACTTTTCTCTTTGAAAAAAATATTCCTTCATTGTTGCACAATTTTCTCCCTGTTATAAAAGTGTTTTGAGGTGATTTGTTCCTAGTGGAAGAATACTTTACATGAGCTGACCACATTCTCTTACCCTGTAATACTCTGCCATGGCCAATGGTGTGGATTTGTGTGGCAGCTAAAGGGATTTGGTATAGAAACTCTACAGACAATCGAAACGGGAAGTTTAGGTACTTTTTTTTTCAGGAAAGAGTATTCAATTGATGATCAATAAAGGCAGTATCTTTCTGGGTGAAGCTAGCCACCTTGATATGAAAATAAGACCCCTCCATTTAGTCTCATTAGTACTATGTTCTCTGCAACTCAGTTGATCAGCTGAATTCCCATAAAGCAAAAAGAGGCATTTATTCCTGGTGTGAACACACCAGCTTATTTCCCTTTTGTTCAGTACAATTGTTACTGAAGAGAATGTGTATAATAGGTACAAGTAGTCAGATTTAACAATGTCTGAACATTATACATTCCTAGGGAATTTACTCAAACAGGGTAAATGAGAATCTGGCTAGTTGTCAGGACATCTCAAAAACCTGTACATGCTGCTGTTCATGTTAGCTCAACAGACACCATGATAATGCATTCATTACAGTAAGGTGGAACAGTGTGCCTCCAAGAATTCTGCATTCCTCAGAGTCCACTCATTCAACTTCCATCTAACTAGCCCTTACCGTGATCAGGCATTTGAGATCCCATGGAGGTCACACTGGTATTCAGCACATCATTGACAGCAGTATCACAATACAGGCTCCGCTGGACATCATGTTCACTGTCAGTCTGGTCACTCTCCTCATGTCCACTATCCTTCAGGCTGTTCCCCTCTAAGTCCTTGAGGGTAGAGCTGCTGGGGTGAAAAAATAATCATTTACAACTATGATCAAAGTGATTTTTAAAAAATCTTTCCAAGTCAGGGTATTGTCAGTTGTGTAGAAACGCAGAGTGACTGGATTATCCAATCCAGAAGGAGTGGAAGAAAGATAAATTTCCATTTATAGACAGTGGAACTTAGTATTGTGGGAGTGTCCCACTATTGGATGTGATACAGCTAATACTTTCATTCACTTATCTTCAATGCATTATTCCAAGTAAGGTAGGAAAAAAGCTAAAAATATGAAAGATCTATTACTAAAGACTGTCATAATTTTAAAAGTCCCCCCCTTCTTTTCTTATACTATCAAAGGAAAAGAATAATAATAGCTAATGTTTATTGAAGGGTTAATATGTGGGAAGCAGTGCTCTAAGTGTCTCATATGAATTGCTTCTTTTTAATCATTATAACTACTTAAGAGAAAGATGTTAGTAGCATTCTCATTTACAGACTAAAAATTAAGACACAAGAATGTCAGATAACTTGTTCAAACTTCATAGCTGCTACAATGTGACAGATCTAGGACCAAACTCAGGCAATCTCCTTCCAGAACATGGACCCATAACCACTGTACTATATTGTTGTTGTTGTTATGTGCCATAGAGTCACTTGCGACTCATAGCGACCCTATGAGTACAACAGCCCTAAACCCTGCTCTATCCTGTGCCAATCTCACTGCCTCTGACACACCCATCCCAATTACCCCAGTCATTGAATCAATCCACCTCATAGAGGGTCTTCCCTTTCTGTGACATCCCTCCACCCTCCCAAGCATGATGTCCCTCTCCAAGGACTTTTCCCTCCTTACAACATGTCCAAAGTATGTCAGATGAAGCCTCAGAATCCTTGCCTCCAAGGAGCAGCACGGTATAACCCTCTCCAGGATGAATCTGTTTATTTTCTTGGCAGTCCATGGTACATTCAATACTCTTCTCCAGCACCACAGCTCAAAGGCATCAATTCTCCTTCTATCCTCCTTAGTCATTGTCCAACTGTGATGCACAACAAGTGATTGCAAAGACCATAGCCTGTATCAGACTTACCTTAGTCTTCAGAGTGACACCATTGCTCTTCAGTACCCTGGAGAGGTCCCTAACAGCAGACTTTCCCATCGCAATATTTTTTTTTATTTCCTGGCTACTGGTGCCAAGAGTGTTGACCGTGGAGCCAAGCCGACTAAAGTTGTTAACAATCTCAATCTCTTCACCATACATCCTGATGCTGCCAATTGGCCCAGTGGTGAGAATCTTTGTCTTCTTGACATTGAGTCTCAATCCATACTGAAGCCTGCAGTCCTTGACCCTCTGAAGCAAGTATTTCAGGTCTTCCTCAGTTTCAGCAAGCAGGATTGTGTCATCTGCATAATGCAGATTGTTAATAGACCTTCCAACCATCTTGACGCCACACTTCTCCTCATAGAGCCCAGCCTCTTGGATAATCTGTTCTGCATACAGGTTGAAAAGGTATGGAGATAGGACACATCCCTGGTGTACACCTTTCCTAATTTTGAACCATGCAGTGTTTCCTTGCTCTGTTTTGATTACTGCCTCTTGATTCAACTATAGGTTTTGCATTAGCACGATCAAGTGTTTTGGGATTCCCATTCTTCTCAGAGTCAGCCACAGTTTGTCATGATCCACACAGTCAAAGGCCTTTGCATAATCAATGAAACACAGATAGACATTCTTCTGGTATTCCCTGCTTGATTTCTACCAACTTTTACTGTCAGAAATCGATCGAGCATGCAATAATGGGTGACTGGAATGCAAAAGTTGGGAACAGAGAAGAAGAATCAGTAGTTGGAAAACATGGACTTGGTGAGAGAAATGACGCTGGAGATAGAATGATTGAATTGTGCACAGTGACCTATTCATTGTAAATACGTTTTATAAGAAACATATATGCAGGTTATACACATGGATTTCACCTGATGGTATGCATAGGAATTAGATCAATTATATCTGCAGGGAAAAAAAATGCTGGAAAAGCTCCCATATCAGCTGTGAAAACAAGGCCAGGAGCTGATTGTGGAAAAGACCACCAGCCACTCATATGCAAGTTCAACCTGAAACTGAGGAAAATTAAACCAAATCCACAGGAACCAAAATATAACTTTGAGTTCATCCCACCTGAGTTTCAGAACTATCTCAGGAACAGATT